AGTGCCCGGCGGCGGCGGCTGGGCCACGGGCGGGCTGCGGTCAGTGGTCCGAACCGAGCTGTTGTGCCCGCTCCGGTGTAGCGGGATGAAATGTGGGTTTAGGGCTGGTTTGGGTTTTTTTTTCTCATTTATGTTTCTTAAACGGTTAGTACTGTGGTGCGTGACAGCAGTCGTGTCGCGCCGAGGCATCAACAGCCTCTGAATAACCGCAGCGAGGGGGTTTTCGGCAATGTTTAATGTTGCGATTCTGAGGCACTAAGGCAAAAGGACAGAAAGAGAAACCCTCAAGCTCAGTCCCGGGTGTTTACGCTGCTTTGTCCTATTCATCTTTGCTTTTTACACCACTGAACAGGTTTGAGAGACCTTGCTGGTCTGAATTCGGCTCCCAGAATTTCTTTGGTTGTACGGTTGCTTGCTGGAGTTTTCCCTGTCCGTCTTTCTGGATTTTACTGTACACGTTGCCACGGTGTTTTGGAGTGGGTTATACCGAGGAAGGGTGGTCTTAGGGCAGTGAAACTGCTCACGAATTATACGACCAGCTTTTGTTATTGCCACAAATCCATCTGCAGTTGGTACAATTCTGTGAGCGGCTGTGTACACACACTGTACAGCCAGCAAGGCACCTGCAGAGACCAAGCTCAGAATAAAGCATTTACTGTGTAGCAGGATTGGACTTAAAATGTGCCACTTCCCTCAAACAGTCCCTTGTCACCAGACAACTTAACTCAGTAAAATTGGGTCATGTGAAGAGCAAAGAGGAGAGGGGAAAAAATAAGCCATGCTGCTTGTTTCTGCTTAGAGCATTATAGATGATTTGCATAATAGAGACTTAACAGATTTTTCTTGCTTTGCCCTTAATCTTGCTGCTGATATTTGAACCCAGAATATTTTTCTCTACTCTGTGCTGGAATGCTGCAGCTGTAGTATTGCAATTGCAGCTAGCAGGCTGCTTCTGGATTCATTATTCTTGCCTCTTTTATCATGCTTGCCCAAACTGTTGCTGCATGGCATGTTTCCCTTCTTACAACAGGAAGGGTGCTACGAGCCTGTTTAATACAGGAAGGAGTACCGACTTCCTCCTTGTTGCAGCATTTCACCATTACTCACCGCTTGCAACATCCCAGACGGTAATGGACTGATCCAGCGATCCAGTGTACAGGTACTTGTCATCTTTTGAGAAGCAAGCGCAGCAAACGCCTTTCAGGAGAGATGTGGGCTGAAAATGGATGGTTAGGATTAGATTGTTGTGCTGGTAAATACAGGTTGAAGAGAAGATGCCTTAGAGTAGTCAGGGGTTACTCAGTGCTTAAGAATAGAGGTAATAAATAAAGATTTTCACAAGAGTGATCCTGGAAGGAGGATGGGAGGTATCACAAAATAAAGCCCTTAGCTTGTGAAGCACGCTATAGCTGTGCAGGAAAGACAGCCCAGTATGACTGTACAAAAGCCCATTATTCCACCTGTGGAAAGGAATGGCTCAGACAGACACATCCGCAGTGTGTTGTCAGGTGAAAGAGTAACAGCATTGATCCAGTCTCCACCATCACTTTTTTTCCCCCCTACTGGATTCTCCTGAGCTGGCCCAATTTACCCCTTCTGTTGCTATTGTTAACTTGTGAAGTCTTGTTCTCTGACTGATTTGTGTCATGTAGCTTCCACTGGCTAAATGAGCGGTAATGAGGTGTAGATAAATAATTCCTATGACTTAAGTTTAGCGTCAGAGTGATGTTAACAGCACTTACTCACTTAGAGAGCATTGGCACCCTGATAGTGTATTTAGACGTACGGATGCTTTAAAATCAGACCTAGGTGCTGAGAATAGCTTCCTGCCTGTCAGTTTGAACAGCAACATGCAGGATTTGGGTATGCTGTTTGAGAGCTGGGAATCCTGTCGGTAGGATCCTCCCTGGCAGCTCTGGGCAGTCATCGACTATTGACACTGTCTTACCACTGTAGTACCTTATACTGACAGAACTCCAAGTCCCAGAGACACTGCAGGGAATCTTCGGATCCGCTGAGTGCCCGCTGCTCTCCGTGGCTGCTTTCCAAACAGGAGATCTGGCTTCCATGACCTTCCAAAGGAAACACTTGGGCCCGAGGGCAGTCATAAAGGAATAAGTCCCCGCTAGTCATGCCATAGAGGACTCTGTAATCTGCCAGGACAGCCACTCTGGAAATCAGAGAGCCGGGGATTTGAGTTTTAAAGGTGTAGGTGGGCCTGTCGATCACTGGGCATGGATCTGCAGGGATAATATCCAGCACAAGGACTAAATCATCGTATGCTATGGCGAGCTGCTTTTCCTGCTTGTTGACTGCGATGTCGTTGACTGGTTTCTGTGACTCTGGAGGTGGGATGCATGCTACATCCTGCGTGGAGTTCAGAGGAAAGACAAGGACTGTTCCAGATATAAGCCCTGTGAAAAGGAGCTGGTTTCGCTCAGCTATTTCCAGGCATCTCACTCGGGCAGAGGTGTCCAGTGTGTCACGCACTTCACCTGTAAAACAAGGAAATTCTTACTCTAACTGCATGTGAATGTCTTCCCTCAGATGAGGCTCATGATTGACTTCTTTATTTGTGAAATAATTTGCATATTATTCATATTTCCAGTTTTCCCATGTCATAATAATAAGCTATTCTAGACAAACCTTTGGAAAAGAGGTTAAAAAGCTCTCCACGCCTGAAACAAATTTTCCTAAATCTCATGCTTAGAAAAAGCAGAAAGGAGCAGACGGTGCTTGTCATATGCTCGGAAAGCTAACCCCACCTCTGCTCCCTCTGTGACCTGCTTTGTTTCTCTCCTACCCCATGTGCAGGCTTAATTTAATGCAGTATTTCTGAGATGCAGTTCACCTTCTGTGGCATTCCAGATGATGACTTTATCTCTGTCTTCAGGTTGGGTAAAATAGACATAGTTCCCCCCATGGGACAGTGCAGCACAGCCTGAGTTTGGGATTGGTGCCAAGGTTTTCTGCTGATGGTTGTAACTGAGGTTCCACACTCCTAGATACGGTGTGCTGTGGGAGGCAGACACCAAAGTGCAGTCGCACAGGGCTAAGAGCGTTACTGGTGCTCCCATGCCCTCCAGTGTGTCAGTCAACATCCCCTGGTCTGATAAACTCCACACCTGGGAAAAGTTGAAGGGGGAGAAGTCGTCAGTGCCTGAGCTACTTAGTCCTATTTAAGAGGTAAAACAATATACTGTAACTAACTTGTAACATAAGTAGTCAAAGGATAACATCCTAATATCAGAAGGCAAAACACTGAGTAACTGCTGGCACCAATTTACTCTAAAGCAAATGTTTGTAGCACCTGGAGCCGTTCAGCCCGTTTGCTTCCTTTGCTCTGCAAGATCCCTAATTAGATCCTGCACATTTTGGACTGCACTGGCTGTTTACCTCTTTTATTTTTGGCAAGTGATGATGCTCAGATGTTGTGTGTTCCATCTGGCTCCTGCTCAGAGATGGGTAATAAGGCAGCTTTTAGGAGTTCAAATTTAAGACATTTCAGAAATAAAATTGTATTTCAGGCATTTGGCATACGCTGGCTTGAGTGCTCTCCATTCAGTGTCAAAACCAGGAGGAGGACAGGAAGGCTTGAAGCAATGAAGAGAGGGGTCAATGCTCATATTCTTTTTGGAAGTGTGGCAGTACTAAAAATATCTTCAGAACTGCAAACCCAACCCCCAGACAGGTTGCTGGGGATCAAGATGACCTTACTGGAACGAGGCCATATTCTGTAAGCTGCATTTGTAAGAGATGCTTCTGATTGGGAAGCTGCCCAGCCTTCCTTCCTACCTGGATAGATGCAGCCTGAGAACCAGTAACAATAACGCTATTGCCAGCAGAGATAACAGCCGTTCGAACTGCTCCGTCGTGTTCCAAATCTGCTGCTAGGAACCTGTGGAATCCCTTTGGGTCTGCCAGGTACACTCGCACATATTCTTTAAAGCCTTAAACAATAAAATGTTAGTTACTGATTTATTGAGCAGAAGAAGTCTCTAATCCTCTTCAACACTACGTCCTTCTGCATATGATTTAATTCCTGTGTTTCTTTAAAGGTAAGCCCAAGGGGTAGCTTAGAAACGTGAAAAAATAATCATTCCAGCTTAAGTCCTTTTCACTACTTACATCTCACTTATTCCCTTGAGAAAAAGCTCCTGGTACGCATGCAATGTTCTGACTTTTCACAAAGAGAATTTCACCCAATCTTTGTCACTCCCTTAAGCACAATAGTTAAACAAGGCCAGGCTCCTGGGAAATTCCACATGCTGGCCCCTTTTAAAGCACACTTGGCGTGTGGGACAGCAGCTACTACCAACGCTTTCCCAAGGAATGGGTGCTACTGAACCTGCAGCAAGAATGGACTCATCATCTGATGCCACCACGAAGCAAACCCTTCCAGGAAGCTTGTCTAGCAGACGGTTTCCATCAGAAGAGATCTGCACAAAAATAAGGCAGGAGTGAGACATGAATCTGGGATAGCTGAGCTGCCTCTCTCGGGAAGGAAAGAGGATGCATTAGCAGTGAAACTTAATTTGGCCACATGGTGTTGGGCAGAGCTATAAAGTGCAGAAGGAAAGTCTTATGCTTCTCTGTTTGGGAACTAGGATATGGAAGTGTGAGGAGGATGCTCTGTTCAGAATAGAGAAGGAGGGCCTGTTGGTTACCAGATCTGTTGTCTGGCTCAGTAAACCTCTGCATATTAAAAGCAAATACAAGAAATATTATAAGAAAGTTGACCACAGAGATGTGTACCGTGGATAGAGATCCCCCACTAAATCCCACTATCATCTTCCCTTGCTTCTGGATCAGAACGCTGGATGTTGGTGTTTCTTCCTGTAGCCCTGACAGCTGACATTTGGATCTCAGCTCGCCAGTGTTGCTGTTCCACAGACTCAGCGTTCCTCCTTCAGACACAGTCATAATCGCCAGCCCTGGGCTGAATACTGTGGAACATGTCCATGCATCTGACGCCTCTCCAGAAATCTGGAAGATGAGTTCTGCTGTCTCCAGGTGCCAAGCATTGACCTAGTAAAGAGGTGGCAAAAGAGATAGAAGTAGCAAGGACAGGTCGCTCTTCTGTCCTACGACCTTTGTGATTGTGGCTGTAACTTCTAAAGTTCTTGTTCTTTCAGCACACTTTAACTTAAAGACTGGCCATACCTTTGTGTCTGAGGAAGAATATACAATCATGTGTCCCTCATCCACATGAAGGTGATGTGAGGGCTGTTCTTCCATACGCGTGTCTTGGATAATAAACCTTGGTCTGCCAGAAATCAAATTCCATATGCGCAGACTGTGATCCATGGCAGCTGAAACAGCACGGGTTCCTTTTCCAAACACTTTCACACACCTCACCTCAGCTATAAAATAAGAGGAGGATTTGCAAAGTGAGGGATTCTCAGGGCTTTCATCAATGGGGAGAATGCTGGCAGCTAGGAGGTGTCTGTGTGCCTACAGCTCAAGGATTGCTGAGCTGTTAGAGCTCTTTTCACATGTGAAAAAAGCTTTCCAATCGTAAAACGTGGAGAAGGCTCACCAGAGTGCCCAAGAAGGGCGTGCAGCATCTCAAAAACTTCCGTATTCCAGACAAGCATTGAGCCATCCTGGGAACCTGCCACCAGCAGCCGGAGGTCAGAACTAAGTGCCATCGCTGTGACACCTGCCGTGAGACACACAGGAGAGGCTGTTGTTGATACCGCAGACGGAAAAGAGACATTTTGAGGTTGTTCATGTGCTGTTTCCCCAACTGGACCCCCCCTATACTGTCTGAATCCTGTAGGCTGTGCCAAGAGCAAGATTAGGTTCCCTCAGACATATCTAGGTCAGTGTGTGCTTTTGTTGTCCTGACGACAAAATGACCCACTTTATCCTCATTTGTTGAAGCAGTTGCGAATGGGACTGGTGCATGACTGAGCACAAAGGCAAAGGGACCTTTATGCTGCCTTTGTGTAAGCTCACAGGCAAAACTGTATCTCTACGGAAATAGATGTTCTCTCCTTCTTGCTCCGCTTATTTATTATGTTTCTTGGATCTCATTCATAAAAGATGAATGGTTTGATATATTCTTGGGTTGTATCTCTCCCCAGGACTAATCCTACCTTTGAGGAATCCGGTGAGCGTTGTGCGTAGGGGCCCACCAGGTGGCTGAAGAAATCCGCAGAGAGGGATGAGAACAGGATAGGGACAGACACTGCACCAGCTTAGGCACTGCTGGCACAGCTTCCCGATTACCTCCGGGTAAGAAGGCACATAAAAAAGAAGCCTGGCCAGCAATTCTGTGTATATTATACTCACTCCTAAGAGGGTGGAGACAGAAAAAGCGATTTAGAACATGACTCTGGTAGGATGTGAGAGCCACTGTAGTTGTATTTTATGTGATAGGCAGTATGTAATGAACTGAGCTGGCCTTATCTGGCCAGGCTCTTGAATGATGTAAGGAAGGCTACAGCGTAAAACATGGGCAAATGTAACGGAGTGGCAGGATTTGTCCCCTGAGGGAGGAGTGGGTGTTCTGAGGAGAAGCAGGGTAGCAGCACTGGGCACCCTCTCATCCAGTTAGCTTTAAAACTACGAGGGAATCCAGATAGCTAGCAGGTACTGCTGCTAGATGTGGGGCAACAGGCGCTGTGGTCGTGGTGAACTGATCTAATCAAATAGACAGAATGTCTTTTGGCAAAGAAGAAGCCTCAGCTTCCCATACCAGGATGAGGCATTTAAGAGTCTTTTGATGGCTCCCAGTCCTGGTTTGAGGTAAAACAGGACCAATTTTGTTCAGTAACTTTACTTTTTAGCTAGCTTTACTTTTAGCTTTTTAACCACTGAAATGAACAGCGTATTATGCAGAAACTGCTCGCTCTCAGAGTGATAAGACCTATGTTTATAGCTGATGCCAAGGAATAGTATGCAGAGAGGCTCTTGCTTATACTTATTGCTATAACAACCAAGGGCAGCGAACTCTGTTATTTAGCCCATTGGAGGGTCGGAAGCGGAAAATCGTAGAGGGGTGGTACCATGACTCTGAACCCCAGAACAGAGAATTTTGTCACTGGTTGTAATTCCTCATAAAAGTACTTTTATGCAGAAAGGAAAATTCCATTTCTTTTCTCTGGTAAACATTTGCATCACGCTCTGTCCCTCTGACATGGCTGTTACCTTCAGGGCTGTGTACGCTGCTGACTGCAGGCTTCAAAAGGAGAAGTGTTTCCTGCATGAGGCGTAGTTCTGGACAACGGATGCATTCAGTGCACATGGCAAAGTCGTCAACAACACTCTTTATTCCAGAGGCAATTATTTTACAGCTGATCCAGTTCATATTCCCTGCGGAAAGAAATACCATTAGAGCAGAGGACGTCAGCCCTGAGAATGCACAGTTATCCTGAAAAGACTGAGATAAAAAATGCTTTTTTGGGGAGGAAGGGGATAGAAAGATTAACAGCCACTAGCAGTGGAACTAGGACTCATTTGCTGAGGAAGTGGCAGGCTCCCATTGTCACAATTCCTTCTTCAGCCTCTTAAATGATTTATGTATTTTTTTCTAGTTTGTTAGGGTTTTTTTTAATATGTTTTCTTCTCAGTATTTGGAGGATCTAGCTCATTTCTTTCAGCTACGACAGGATTGTGGTGATAATTCTAGGATAACAGCTTGTAAAAGTTAGCTTATTTCTCTTTTCCAAGCTTCCTTCTCGCAGTGGTTATTGATGCTGTGCAGAAAGGCTGTGATTCTCACCTGCGGCTGTAGGCATGAAGCGTGCCTCTGCAGAGCACTGTATACCCCCTCTTGCCCGGTCCTTACCCAGCACATCCCGTTTTAGCTCCTCAATTCGTCCAGCATTAAGTAAATGAAATGGCAATTCACTCAACTTCCTCAGATTTGCAACAGTATCAGAGAACCAGAGTGGCTGAGGGGCTACCTAGGAGTAACAAGAAGAGTGGATTTGAGACGTGGCTTGTGAATTAATCCGTTTGCTTTCACAACTGCAGTGCTAGCTGCTATCTCGTGGTATGCCACACAGCACTTCCAGGACTTTCATTGTTTTCCTGTTAGTAGGAAATCCTTTTCATGGGTCTAAATTTCTCTTACTACAACCTAAGGCAGAGCTGCCTTTCTGCAGATGTGAATAATAGATTACTTCCTTCCTTTTTGCAGTAGCCTTTTACATATATGAAAACTGCATGAGAAATTTTGTAAATGACTGTAGATCTCCTTGGTTGGAGAGATCTGTTTGAAATAGATATATATATCTTTGTGATTGTTGAAAGCACTGAATAGTTTCATTGACTATTATTTCCACTGTCTTCTGATTTCAGACCCTGTGCAGCAATCCGGAGACACAGAGCCTTGGCCCAGAGCTTACAGGTATGGAAAAGCCTGCTGATGTTCATCACCTTCCTGTCGGCATTCAAAGTCCCGCTAAGGTGTGGTAACGTAAGAGGTTTCTTCATTCCCCAGCTCCAAGTCCCTTTGAAGAAATCTGCCAGGAGAAAATGCCTCTTGATTTGGTCTTGTTTTGGTAGATAACGATTCTGCACCATTTCAACGAATTGCCTGGCAAGGGAAAAAGTAATAGATGTACTGGAACAGGGAGCTAGAGCTGGGTGTTTTCTAGAGTCTCAGCACTGGCAGAGTTTAAGGATGGAGAGAAGTCTAGGCAGGGTGCCCGAAAGCCCCGGATGGGAACATCCCATACTCAGAGGTTTGGCTTCTCGTTCTCTGCCCTCTAAGAGTACCTGTGTGCAAAGCAAAGAAGGGTGAAGCCGTCTGCCTTCCTTTCTGCCAGGCACTCTCCCATGTCCCTGCGCAGCCGTGCCCAGTGGAGAGGAGGAAGGCGGAGGATAGTTTTACTTGAAGGAAGGTGGCAGTGGTGAATCTCTGAGAGAACTTCATCATCAAGGGATAAAATGTCCTTCAGCTCCATGTCTGACAGCCCATTTCTGCAAATGAAGTGTGATACATGAAAGGAAATTATTTATCCTCCTCCTTAGTGTTTACACTGGTATCTGTAGTGGGAGGCTGAGTGGTTTCTCTGGCAGTTCAAAAGTACTAGTCACCAAAGCTCTCGGTAGCTCGCATGCACACATGGCAGTCTCAGCTGAAAGCTTAGACACTGGATAAGCCATGGAGATCGAGTTCCTTTTCCAAGTAATCCCAGAACATCTCCCTTCAAGACAATATTTTAAATAGGCTGCCAGGTATGAGAGGAATGTTATGGTTGCTAAATATATATATGAACACATTCACAGGCTCAAAGAACTGAGGGCTTTGACTGGTTTTGGCTGTATTTAGATGTATTCCTTATGAGCAGCAGGAAATGTGGGCTGTTCCGTTAGAGATACAGCAGTACTCACCGTGAGGAAGCAATATAGCCAAGCACATGAGCCACGAGGACTGTGCCGTGTGACTTTTCCAGTCTCTCGCACAGGCGGTGCATGGCGTCCTGGGCTGTGCGAGCAATCACTAGTTCTGAAGGTGACGTGTAAGATGCCCATTTTCTGGCCTCGTGGAAGGTCAGCTTGAAGAGCAGGGCTTGTCCACCACTAGGGAAGCTCTGATGGAAATAGGCCCATTGAGTTGGGCTTAGCCGTCGTCTGTCTGAGGCTAAGAGCATCTCTAGCATCTCCTCACCTTCCTCGCTGGATAAGGGGCCTACTTCAAAGTACGCTTCAGCCTCAGGCACAGCGTATTGGAGAGCTTTCAGGGTATCGGGCTCTGCTGTGGAAATGGAAATGATGATGTGGACCTTTGGAGGGCAGTGTGTAGGGAGC